GCACAGCAAGGCTAAGGCAGGCTCCCTGGCTGCCCTGGCCCCACGCAGCTCCCAGAAGTGGCCAGCACGTCCAGCTCCTATGCACACGGGTGGGCAGCGGACTACGTGTGCTGTCTCTGCCCCGAGCACTAGCTCCACAGCTCCCATTGGCTGGAAACCCTGGCCAATGGGAGCTGCGAGGAAGGTGCAGGTGGGCGCAGGCGGTGCACACCACACAGAGCTGCGTGGCCGTGTCTCCACCTCAGGGTCAGACATGCCAGCCGCTTCAGGGAGCCTGCCTTAGCTGCACTGCACCACTGACCAGTAGCCGTCTGAGGTAAGCACTGCCCTGAACTCTTCATTTCTGGCCCCACTCCGGAGACCTCTCCCCTAGCTGGAGCCCTCACCCACTCCCGCACCCTCTGTCCCAGCCCAGTGAAAGTGAGTGAGGGTGTGGGAGAGCGAGCGACAGAGGGAGGGGGACTGGAGTGAGTGGGGACAGGGCCTCAGAGACAGGCGTGGCAAGGGTATTTGGATTTGTGCAATTAGAAAGTTGGCAGGGTGCAGTACCAACTGCTGCTAACAGGAAGCGATTGCAGTACATAGATGTCAGACAGTATCTGAATCAGGCACATGAGCAATACAAGCTTCCGTGGGCCTCATTCAAATTAGTTCCACAGAGTGTTGGGTCCCTATATGTAATCTCTTCAGTCACAGTTCCCTCCCTGCTGCATCTGTTCTTCGTTCTCCAGATCCAGCAACAGGTAGGAGAGTTTGGTACCCTGGGGAGAGGGGGGAATGATTAGTATTCTTATTTTAGAAATAGGTGGCAGGTGGGAGGAACGGGGGGGGGGGGGGGGAGCTGGGACAGAGAAATGAAGGGACAAGTCACTGGAAGAGCTGAAAACAGAACTGTGAAGCTCTTGGCTCCGAGACTGTTGGTGTATCACGGCAGGCACTCACCGCTGTGGCGCCTCCTGCAGGTCATCTGGGAGTTAGCTCAGTTCCAGCCTCGGCGTGCCTCCTGCTGGCCGGTGTCTTCCTACCGGTGCCTGCTTTCTCCAGATCTCCACCACTTATAGCACTTGAGGCACCGAATCCCTCCTGGACCCTGGTGCCGCTTACTTTAGGGTGCTGCCCCATAGCAGTGCCCCCACACTCTGGGTCTCTAATTGGGTGCAACCATACCTGTGGCTGACTACCTAAGCAGCCTCCCTTGGCTGCTTTTAACCCCTTCCTAACCAGAGCAGGTGACCGCCCTGCTGCAGTTGGTTATCCCACTAGACCTTGCTTCCTCCATAGACTTTTAGGGAAACACTGATACATGTAGTCTCCCTCAGTCTTTGGGCAGGTACCCTAAAACAGGAGGGAAGTGTGAACTAATGTACCCCTACTTTCTCTCTTAATTCTTTTTTTTCCCTGTTACATGGCATGTTCACAAAGGTAGCATGTTCCTTAATACAAATAAGCAACTGTGATTCACCACAGAATTTATAGTTGGGAGAAAGTCACTATTACTTTTTGAGTACTTTGAATTGGAAAACTGGTCTGAAAAAGATACTCTCTGATTTTGGATCAGTGGGTGAGCTGATAATCTTGTCATGACCAGATTTTAATGGCTTTTAATGTTCACTAAACAAGCCAACTGTAGCCCTCGCCTTGGTACATAGATGTTTTAAAAGTCCATTTTATAATTTGCATATTGAATAGGATGTACAGATTAAGGCCCTAAACCCACCAAGACTTATGCATATGCTTACATTTATACATAATGAGTAGTCCAATTGGAATCACAAGCATAAAATTTGCATGATGAAAGCCTTAGCCTGTAAAACTGGCTTAGCTCTTTTTCTGGCTATTTAAAAACTGTGGCTGTATCTTCCTGTAATGTTATAAAAAGGTTAAATTATATAATCTTATTTCAAATTATCCTCATTTCTAAACACAAAATAAAATAAGTAAATAATGAATCAGATTTTTGTCATCTAATTCCATCTTAATCATGCTTGGCAAATTTAGAATAGTGAAATTAGAAATATGATTATCTTTTGATCTGAAGCTGAATATAGCTTTTAGAATGGCAAAATTAACCTTCCTTAATTTTCAGAGTGCTCCTCATAAGAAAAAATTGCAAACACACTGGTTCAGTATTGTTTACAATATCACCACAGTGTTCAAATGCTCTTTTCAACACAAGCTGAAATCCTGGCTGTATTGAAGTCAATGGAAGTTTTGCCATTGATTTCAGTGGGGTCAGGATTTCACCCCATTTCTTTTTGTCTTAACACAAAATGTCTTTGAAGGCCTTGCATGCAACTCCTAAATATATTTCCTGTTTTTCACAAGTAAAAACTTCAGTTAAGTCTAAACTATAATCAGAGACCTGATTCTGAAAGTAAAAAATGCCTGCACATGAAAAGCACAAACATGGCTTGTAATAGCTAATGACGATCTCTTTATACTTTATAATCCACATTCTTCATATTTTACTAGATTTAAAGAATAAGTTGGGCAAGTAGATTAATTACTGAGACTTTTAATATCTGTCTCTTGTTGAAAAGAATTATTGGAAATATTTGAAATCTTTGCAGAAATATTTGAAATCTTTGCAGAAATAATGGAGAGAGATACCAGAAAGTCTCAAATGTGCACTTTACTCTGTTGTAATTCTAGCCTCCTTTCTTAGCATAGAGCTGCCTATGATGTTTTAGCCTTGTTTTGAGAAACCAGCATTGCTGTTCTGTGTTCTGTCAATGGGGGACATAAATGTTGGGCACGTTGCCCTGGATAAAGACAGCAGTTCACGTTTAAGTGGGTTGGTATGTGAGGGAATGATAGAAATTATATTGATTTGTATGGTTGTTTATTAACAGCAAATATTAGCATTTAGTAATAGTAGTAACACAGCATGTTTAATGCATAGTAACAGATAATACCTGCCCCTAACAGTTTGCAATCTAAATACAGAAAAGATGTGTTCATGTATAAGTCGTCTCCTGTGTCTGGAGTCGTCTCCTGTTGCTGGGTAATAACAGGAGACGACTCCATGTGTTGAAAACTAAACTGGACATTTAAAAGATGCAACTGCAGCAACCATTCCAGCCATGTCCACACAGATTGGCTTCCTGGTGCCTTCTCCAAACACTTCCATCTTGCAATTTGTTTTACTCCTTCCAGGTTTCATGCAGGGTGCTACAAAATGGATATAGCACACAAGCATAGTGATCATAGTGGGAACTGTTAGGTTAGTTGCACTTTCTAAAAGATTTTTAAAAAACATATATTTTTTAAAATGTATTATTGGGGACTGAGTGAGAAAGACGCAAGCGAGGATGGATTAGTAGAACAGGACCAACACCAACTAAATAGCAGCAAGGGAGAGGAAAAGACAAAAGAAGGGGAAGAGAGGAGAGAAATGGAAGTGGTAGGGAATCTTGTGCTCCAAAGTCTTGAAATTACATCCAAAACTGCATCTCTCAGGCTGGAATAGAATTCCACAATGTGAGCCACTAGCCCACCTAAAGTGAACAACTGCAACATCAGAAAAGAAAATGATCTTGCTTCCTATTAAGTGACTAATAATTTAGTTTAAAATAATTAGTCAAGATTACAAGATGGGTCATGGCGTATGTGTGCGCACATATGTAATATGTGGTTTTGTAGACAGTATAATATTTTTAAATAAATTCCTGCCAATTACATTGCTGAGTTGCTGAAGTTATTTTGTAAAACATGTAACTTGTTACTGTAAAAACCTATATTTGTTGCACAGAATGAGAAAAATTAAAAAGTTATAAAATGTCACTTCAGGGCTTTACTTTGGCTAGCGGTGTGTTCTGGCACATTCACTCTGTGCCTAGACAATTTGGGGCATTTTAATCCCAAACTTCCTCAATCACTGCTATTGAAGTGTATTGCACTTAGTTGGTGCTAGGTAGCTCTGATGTGCATTTACTTTTTATTGTGGACTCGAGCTCCCCAGACCTTTAGGTCTCATATAAGAGGACTCATATAACAAAGGCTGATTTAAGTGGTCAGCTTCATGAGAACTGTAAATGAAAGAAAAGGAGTGCTAGTCTCTAAGGTGCCACTAGTCCTCCTGTTCTTTTTGCGAATACAGACTAACACGGCTGCTACTCTGAAACCTGTAAATGAAAGGTTTCCTTCATAAATATGTGGAAGCTAATTTCTAGGGGAGTGACACAGGAAAAACTAAGGTAGCAGGAGCACTTCCTCTAGAGCCCCACTGACTTTTACAGCAACTGCACCGTTTATATGATACACCTGGGGACTATACACTTTATGTCCCTTCGTACTATGGCTCAGCCTCCAAAATCATGGCTTCCCTCTTGCCTCTTATCCCTAGCTTTATAGAACAAAAAAGTAGAAAGAGACTTCACTTCTAACCATTGGCTTTCTCACTTCTCTCACTCCAAACAAAAAAAGGGAGGGTGCAGAATAACTTTTATTAGGGTTTTACAATAATATTGCTGATAAAACTTCAGCAAAAACACTGCTAGATTTGTTGAAGTTAAGCAAAATACTAGACTACGAATAGGTACATAGTAAATGTGCACATAATTCAAGAAGTCGAAAAATTCTGTATTTCTCTCATCTGTTGGTCCTCTGCTTGCATCACTCCCGTGATTCATCACTCCCGCGATATTGTAATTTTGTATTGGACATAGCCCCTAGAATACTATACAAATGCCACAACTGTACATAGTTTGAATTAGCTCCAGATGCAATGTGGTGAATGATATGGAGGCAAACTGGATTACAAGAATTCTTATATAAGGATTAAAAGAATGCTTTTAAGATAAATGTTAAATAATCTTTGTGTTTTAAAGAACAGTAAATGAAGGACTTTCACATTATCTAACAGAAGCAAATTAGCTCTGCTGAACACAAAATATTTATTTTTTTCTGAAATTAGGGTGATTACTATTGTACGTATTTGATTCCTGACACACATGCGACTTGTAATATCAAAACATTTTTCTTTCTTTTTTGAATCATAGGAGCTATGCCTGTGCCAGACCAGCCCTCATCTTCTGACAAGACAAGTTCCCTTAGCCCTGTGCTGAATACATCCAATGGGGATGGTTCTGAAACAGAGACAACCTCTGCTATTCTAGCTTCAGTTAAGGAACAGGTACTCAAGTATAGTGGCTTTTGATTACATATTATATCGCACATGCTTGTGAGGCTTATTACTGATGCCATGAAGGAGCAGAAATATTTCTTGTTTTAAAAATACCTCAATTTAGTTTCCTAACAGTATTTTGTGGTCATTGGTTTGGGGAGACATTTGTTGTTGTTGTTTTTTTTTTTTTTGTGGTTCTGCCTGGTATATTGTATGGTGATCTTAAATTAGACTGCTATAAGTACAACATCCTTTCCTTTCCTTTTATTCTATGTGGAGATTTCTTCAGTACAGAGTGTAAGAGTTAGGGACATATGAACCACTGTGAAGAAAGTAACTTTCATTCCAAAGCTTTGTGTAAGGATTGAAGGGAACCCTATCTTGTTTGTTTGAAAATATTCTGTTATTTGTTTACATTCACTTGTTTGCAGCATGACATGAAAACGGTTGAGACCAGAAGCAGAATTTCCAAAATATATCAAGAGGTTTTTCTTCTGGTATTGTCTACTTGGCTAAAACAAAAAAAGGAAGTACTAGAAAGCTTGGAAAAACAAATCTCATTAAATTCCGCTCTGATTCTGATGAGACACAGGTTCAGATGTGTTTATATAAGCAATTCAGTCTTCTGTATATTTTGAGGTTCCTACACAGCTAATGAAAACCAAGTATTTTGAATATATCTCCTTATTCTACTGTAATACACTGAGAATTATTCAGTATATCTGTATGGCTAAAGGAAGTTTTGTCAGAGAAATTCACTTATGTAAGACTGCCGTACCATTGATATTTTGCTTTTCAACCCCTCTGCCTCCAACATAGGAGATGGCCATAACTGCAGTTCTTGAAAACAGCTGAGTTTGAAAACTGCTTATGGTTTTGATCATTAGTAGCACCTGCTACACCAAAAAAAAAGGGGGGAAACACTTTAATATCTAGTTTTGGTATTTTGGACCCTTGACAAATTTTAATGTGACATTCAGCTTCACAGAAAAGGGTACTCTGACAGGATATCTGGTTCTACCATCCTGCAGAGGCAGAGAGAGAGAGAGAGAGAGAGAGACTTGTTTCTGCTGACTCACCAGACTAGCTTTGGCCCAGGAGTACATGAAGAGTTTGAGCTGCTCAGTGATTCAGAGGGAAATAGGGGCAAGAACAGAGTAATACTGAAAGGAGAAACCCTAGGAACAAAACAAGCCCAATCTAGGGAAGAAGTTTAAATTGAAATTTACATTTTGTTTTTATCTAAGTTAAAGACGTGGTGGAGTTTGGATTTTAACTCTGTGTGCCTGTTGTGTTATGTTAGAAGATGCATGTGCAATAAAAACATCAATTATACTTTTTAAAATGCAAAATTATTCAGATAACACTGACAGCTTCTTTAAGGATTCTTAGAAGTTATATTGTATTTTTAATTGAAATAGTATGTTGTCGTATACTTCTTTAATACTTTGTTTTTACAACTGTTGTACAATTGGTAGTTTATATAGCTTAAAAATTAAAATGTTCTCTGGTGTGCTACATTAACTTTTAAAGAGATTCACGGTTGCCCTATGTGTTTGATGTGTATGAGGGTTTTCATGCAGTATAACAGCATTATCTGGACACGCTCATTATCTAGGATGATATGTGAAATGAATAACTTCTTTTACAACCTAACTTTTTCAGAGTAGATTGTGATTTAGTGTATTGGGCTTAAAAATTGACCAGAAAGTGAGAGTGGTTCACAGTACATGTGTGTCACGTGACTTAAAAGTGATCTGTGTTTTATTGGTAAAGGCTTTTGGTTTTGGAATGACCCATATTTGTAAGAAAAATGCACTCTGGCTTATTTCCTCTACACACAATACTGTCTGATTCTACCAGGCACACATTACAGTACTAAGCTTGATGTCCTCACAAAACAGGAAAAGCCATATTGACTAACAGTCCAGACAACTAAAACATGGTCTAATTAAACTGTTGAAACTGCATTTAAAAATTCTGGGTGTATTTTGTGTGGTAATGAACTGGCAGGGAGATGGACTAGGTGACGTAATAAGTGTTCTCAATCTCTAATATCTTTGATTTATGAGCTCATTTAACCTGGCATTCAAGATAAATGGCTTCCCATCTCCTAGTAGAAAAAAGCATGTGATTTGTCTGTCTAGCCAACACTTTGGGTTAATTTATCCTCTGGCTCTGCTCAGAAATCTGGCCTTACTTGAAGATTTGGGAGCATGCACATGGCTAATTATGCAGAGGAATAAAAACAAACAAATTAAAAACAGGACAACCACTTTTAAAATCAGATTGTCCTTGGCCAAATTTAATAAAATATATTTTATTTCCTCCAGGTTGGTCATTGCATATACAATTATTCCACCTAACTTTTTAAAAAATGTCTTGGCTCAGCTGCAGAAACTTTTCATTTACTTCTATGTTCACTTAATATGCTCTGTGAAATTGATATCTGAAGCTGTTTCTCTGGATGACTGAAGCAGGCAGAACCACAGGGATAATGGTATCATAGCGACTGTTGTAGGTACAGCTGATTTGGGGGGAAGGACAGACCTGATGAACATAAACTTTGGTCAGAAAATTGGAGGAAGGATATATGGAGATTTAAAGATAAAAAGACTTACATTTTCTATTTTAATTTCTTATATGACACATGGGTGATTGGGAATTCTACATTTTGAATTTAAAACTGACTTAGGTCTGAGGTACACATGTACAATTTCTTTTATGCATGATCTCACACTTATCATACCAGCCTACCTGTAGCTGGGAAAATGTACGTGAGCACAGCACAGAGATAATTGTTTCTGCCTATAGACTCACTATGAATAAGCTTCCAAAACATAATTTGAAGTAACATGAACAGTATAAACTGATTTTAATAAAACTTTTAAAATATGAGGTTAGTGCATAGTAATATTTTTTCATTACTATTATGGGGCTTCCAATAATCCACATGCTGCCTCAGTTTTACCAATGAGATTATCTGGTCTAATAACAGCAGATTGTTTAATATTCCAAACATAAAAGTTTCATATTTAACACAGCAATAATGAACTCAGAATCTATATCTGCGTGCTTTTCATGTTGTGTCTTTATGATAAAGTATAAACACAAAACAAAGGCTTGGATGTTGGGTTTTTTAAAGTAATTTCATCATTTTAATTACTAGCTATTATATGTAAATTGATGTATTGAGGATTTTTCCAGGGATGTTTTGCCTGAACAGATGTAATGGGTCACACTCGGGTGTTGGACTGCACCTGGGAACATAAATGAAAATGAATGGCTACAAGGAGATATGGAGTACAACTTTGGTTCCCTGCTCTCAATTGCCTCAAAATATGTATAATTTCCAGCTGTAGAGGGGACAGTTTGGGGCAGCGTCTGGGGGCATAGCCTGTGTGTTTGCGAATGATCCCTGACCAGGCTGTTTCATGTCATGCACAAGTTACTCTGTTCCCTGCTAGGGACAATCTTTGTGGTGGAAATAACATTAATGTGATTACATGCTACTTTTCAGCATGAATTTGTTCCCGTGTCAGCAGTAAATGGCAAGGGGCCTCATTGACAATATATAAGTGGAGATCCATATAATGCTTTATAACACTGTACAGTACATGTTGTTCCCTCAGTTCTTTTCAATACTGAAATACAGGTAAGGTAACTGGTAGGTGAGATCCCATGGGAAGAAAATCAAAGGGAAAAAAGGAGTTCAGGAGAGCTGGGAGACAATATTGAAGGCACAACTGCAAATTACCATGATGCAAAGGAAAGATAGAAAGAATAGTAAGAGGTCAATATGGTTCCATCTGGAGCTCTTTAACGACCTGAAAATCAAAAAGGAATCCTACAGAATGTGGAAACATGGCCGAATTGCTACAGAGGAGTACAAAAGAATAGCACAAGCATGTAGGAACAAAATCAGGAAGGGAAAGACACAAAATGAGTTGCACTTAGCAAGGGACATAAAAGACAATAAGAAGAGGGTTTTTTAGATGTATTAGGAGCAAAAGAAAGACAAAGGAAAGTACAGATCCTCTTAGCAGGGAAGGAGAGCTTATAACTGATGACATCAAGAAAACTGAGGTGTTTAATACCTATTTTTCTTTAGTCTTCACTAAAATGGCAAATAGTGACCAGATGGTCAACACATTTTAATATTAACAACAAGGGGGAAGGAATGAGACACAAAATAGGAAAAGAGCAGGTTAAAGAATATTTAAATGTTTTCAAGTCATCAGGACCTGATGAAATTCATCCTAGCATAGTTAAAGAACTAGCTGAAGCAATCTCAGATCCATTAGCAATTATCTGTGAAAATAACAGGATGCCAGGTGAGGTGCCAGAAGACTGGAGAAGGGAAAACAGATGTATCTTTAAAAGGAGAACAAAGAGGACCAGGAGAATTATAGACAGTCAGCCTAACTTTGATACCTGGAAAGATACTGGGACAAATTATTAATCAATCACTTTATAAATGCCTGGAGGATAATAAGATTATAAGAAATAGCCAGCATGGATTTGTCAAGAACAAATTATGCCAAGGCAACCTAATTTCCCTCTTTGACAGAATTACTGACCTAGTGGATTAGGAGGGAAGCAGTAGATGTGATGTATCTTGATTTTTAGAAACACTTGTGACACAGTGCCACATGACATTCTCATAAGCAAAGTAAAGAAATGTGGTTTAGAAATTACTATAAGGTGGTTGTACAACTCATTGAAAGACTGTACTCAAAGGGTAGTTATGGTTCACTGTCAAACTGGGAGGGCATATGTGATATGGTACTGCAGGAGTCAGTCCTTGGTCTGGTACTAGGCAATATTTTCATTCAGACTTGGATAATGAAATGAAGAATTTGTTTATAAAATCTGTGGATGACCCCGAGCTGAAAGAGATTGCAAGTACTTTGGAGGACAGGATTAAAATTCAAAATGACCTTGAAAAATTGGAGAATTGGTCTGAATTCAACAAGATGAAATTCAAGAAAGACAAATGCAAAGTACTT